TAGTAGCATACCTTAGTGTGTAGATATAGTAACATAACTTAGTGTGTAGGTCTAGTAACATACCGTTGTGTGTAGATAAAGTAGCATACCAAAGTGTGTAGATATAGTAACATACCTTAGTGTGTAGATATATAGTAACATACCTTGGTGTGTAGATATATAGTAACATACCTAAATACCTTAGTGTGTAGATATAGTAACATACCTTAGTTTGTAGATATAGTAACATACTTTAGTGTGTAGATATAGTAACATACCTTAGTGTGAAGATATAGTAACATACTTTAGTGTGTAGATATAGTAACATACCTTAGTGTGTAGATATATAGTAACATACCTTGGTGTGTAGATATATAGTAACATACCTAAGTGTGTATATATAGTAACATACCTTAGTGTGTAGATATAGTAACATAACTTAGTGTGTAGATATAGTAACATACCTTAGTGTGTAGATATAGTAACATACCGTTGTGTGTAGATATAGTCACATACCTTAGTGTGTAGATATATAGTAACATACCTTGGTGTGTAGATATATAGTAACATACCTAAGTGTGTATATATAGATATAGTAACATACCTAAGTGTGTAGATACAGTAACATACCTTAGTGTGTAGATATAGTAATATACCTTAGTGTGTAGATATAGTAAATACCTAAGTGTGTATATGTAGTAACATACCTTAGTGTGTAGATATAGTACCATACCTTAGTGTGTAGATATAGTAACATACCGTTGTGTGTAGGTATAGTAACATACCGTTGTGTGTAGATATAGTCACATACCTTAGTGTGTAGATATATAGTAACATACCTTGGTGTGTAGATATATAGTAACATACCTAAGTGTGTATATATAGATATAGTAACATACCTAAGTGTGTAGATATAGTAACATACTTTAGTATGTAAATATAGTAACATACCTAAGTGTGTATATGTAGTAACATACCTTAGTGTGTAGATATAGTAACATACCTTAGTGTGTAGATAAAGTAACATACTTTAGTATGTAAATATAGTAACATACCTAAGTGTGTATATGTAGTAACATACCTT